GCAACAGTCTAAAATGGTAACTGCCCAAATGCCACCAACAGAGAATGGATAACTAAAATTGTAGTGTATCCCCACAGTGGAATACAGCCATAAGAATGAACAATACAAACTATACAGTACATTAATAAATGTCATGAAGATAATATTGACCGAAAGAGACCAGGCAAAAGTCTACATCCTGTATGATTTCATTCAGATAAAGCACCGACATGAAGCCACGGTGCTTTAGAAGCCAGATATAGGGCTATTCCAGGACAGCTGGGGACAGGAAGGAAGCATGAGTAGGACTCTTTGGGTGCTAAATACATGAATGTGACAGTCTCTAAAAGTTCATCAAATTATGCCCTTTTCTGTGTAAGCTCTGCTTCAACAATTTTTTTTTTAATAAAAAGGAAATGGATGGGATGGACTGGTGCTCTTTAGGGGCTTCTGTCCTTCTGGCTTTGACACCTCAGGTTGGGGTAGGCTTGGGAAGAGGAATCTGGGTGGGGGCAGGGTCCAGAGAAGATAGAGAGGAGGAGGACACAGACGGCACAGGAGGAGAGAGGCAGCTGAGTTCCGGCTGGACAGACAGCCGGTCCCACTTACTCGGCAGATGGACTTCCCCGTGAAGAGGTCACCAGCACACACCATATCATCATATATGCCATATACATCGCGCCTGGGGGGGCCTGGGGGTGTTGGGTAGAAGATTTTACAGTAGTTGTTTGTTACGAGGGTGACCTCTGCCTCTTGCAGTTGTAAGGGCTCAGGCAGGAACTCTGTGGAAGAGGTCAGATGGGTCAGATGGGGGACACACACTGGAGAGAAGCCCACTCCCTCCCAGGCCTGCCTGTTGACAGAGGGTGACCATTCTAGCTGGCAGTGGTGGGGAGGCCTCTCAGAGGACATACAAAGACCAGGGGAAGGTCTTCTGGGGAGCAAAGGTGAAGGCCCACGGTGGGAAGGAGCAGCAGGGAGACCAGTGTGGCAGCAAATGGGCTGAAGCGAAGGGTACCCTCCCCTGCTGCTCTAAACTTCTACCCTCCGACCCATCTTGGAAAATCCACCTTGCCCTGGTTGTGGTTCTTAGAGAGCGAAAGTCCATCTCAGGAGGGTGTCTTTGGAAATGTTGGAGAGTCGGCTGCTCTAAGGACTAGGTCAGTGTGACTGACACTTAGCGACCAGGAGCAGGGATGCTGGCCTGCACGTCAGTGAAAGTCCTGCCCCAAGTGCCTCCACTGAGATACTCTGCCAGATCATGACCCTACAAATCATGCCCAATTTATATTCTACATTTTCTCACTACCGTTATATTTTCCTCAATCAAAAGCATTCACCCTGGTGCAAAAATCTTTGCCCAACATTTCTCCTCTGTCAATCAAAAATGTGCAAAAGCCCAGCAAGCTGAGAGAACGGTCAAGTCTTACTTGAGGGGTAAGCAGTGAGGTTCAGAGGTCAGAGTTCTTGAGCTCCCCAACTAGTCCCAGGCCAGGGGGCAGGACTGCCCTTATTTCCTCCCTGGTGCCCAGCACCTCCCATGCCCTGGAAGCTCGAGGGGTGTTTGGTGAGGCTCTGGAGGGAGTCAACACAGGTAGGACCTTGGAATCGGGGTGGGACCAGCAGTGATCAGAACCGTGGAATACTGAATGGCTCAGAGTCCATGAGCCCAAGTCCCTGACTCCTCAATTTAGAGATGCGCGACTTTTTGAACCACAGATGGAGGGAACCGTGAAGCTTTGGAAGGACTGGGAGGTCCCCACCGTGGTCTACCACCTCCTCGGCTCTTCGCCTGCCCTGCCCTGCACTCACTTTGCTCGGTGAGCATTCCCCAGCCGCTTATCCAGCAGTTGAGTTTAGTGGGCAGCGAGATGGTGGGCTCTGGGATGCATGCAGGGCGGATATGGGCATTGAATTCCACAGGCAGGTGCATTTGTAGCAGGGTGATGTCACTCCCCATGTTGTGATGCTGGTTGTATTCTGGGTGGACGATGATCTTGTTCACTGTCATCTGCCGGCTGTGCCCAGAGGGATTGCTCAGCTGGTTGTACCCTAGCAGGATCCGGAAGTCAGATGGGTGAGAGGACCTGTTGGGGGGAGGATCCTCTGAATGCTGGGCCGGCACCGTAGGCAACTAGACCCCCCGGCCCCTATCATTCCGGGGGTTTCTCTCTCCTCCTTTCCTAATATTGAACAGTCCTTCTCTTGAGATGGGTTTGATGGCTACCTACAGCCTTAGGATATTTATCCTTTGAAGGTTTCTGATGGCTTTCCCGGTATGCCCTAGAATCAAAGGAGCAGAGAATGTTAGTGCTGGACAGAAACGTTGGGGGCACATCAAACTGCACCCCTTCATTTTAGAGAAGACACTTGGCTCATTCTCAGCTCTGAGCAGACCCCTCGCAAGGCCCCATGGCCTGGAGTGATTCTCAAAGGCCCCATTTCCCAGGCCAGCATGATCCAGGCTCCTCCTCCCCAGGCCTCACACACTGCCTTCTCCAGAGGCTGGACCCCACCTGGTGACAGGCACTCAACTATTTGTGGAGCAAATGGGGGAGTATATGGAAAAGAACTTCTCCTTGTTTCTAGGTTCTCCTTGTTTCTAGAACATGAGTGACTTTCCAGCCCACATGTCCTGCCTCTGCTGTCCCTTCTCACACTCCACACACCCGAATCCTTCTCCCCCAAGGCCCCTCCACCTCCAAGCCCCTTCTCTGGTTGGACCCGTGGCATCTCCCCTGACACGTCCCCAGGGTCTACCGAGGTAGTTCCTGATAGGACGAGAAGCTTCGAGGTGGGCCCCACAGAAGGCCTCACATGAGGCCTGCACTGATGGGGGCTGAAGAAATGAGGGAAACCCAAGTGAAGACTCAAGGACAGCTACGCCCACAGCTCTGGCTTCCTGGCTTGGAGTGAGGTGTCCTCTCCACTCCCTGTGGCACCGTGAGCCGGGATACACCTGAGGAGGGACCCGATCTGCCTCACATCTCCCAGGACAGAGGCCATTTGCTTCATCCCTAGCTCTGGCCTGGGGGGCAGTGGTGTCTTTGTAGGCCCATAATCCTATGGAAGTAACAAAAAGACACTGGTGCTAGTTAGACACAGAGTCTCGGGACACCTCCAGAGAGGAATGTGCCAGAGTGTGTGGACGGCTAGCACCCAGAGGAGCCTCAGCAGGTGTGCCCTGGACGGCCTGTGGAGAGCTGGAGGGGGCAGAAGCCTGTCTACACGGGCCCTGACCATCACTCCACTGGCCCTGGGAAGTGGGGCCCTGGGACTGTCACTCTGACTTAATGCCTGAAGCCTGTGCCAAGTGTGTGGCCAGGGACACTACACACTCACTACCATTTACACAGGAGGAAACTGAGACCCGCCAAGATCTCATGGGATGGTCTGGAACTGGGCAAGACACAGAAACCAAAGTCCACCCTGAGTAGGGACAGGATTTTGTTTCCTAAAACTTATGGAAGATAAAGAGTGGACTGGAAGCTGTCACTTTGGAACTAAAATCTGTTTCCAGCATTTACTGATAATCACAGCTAGAGTGAATATTAATTTAGCTATTTAAAAGTAATATGCACGTAACTGAGACAATCATACCATCTTGGTAGGTTTACCAAAGTAGGGGGTTGGGGTGGGAATGGGGCATCCCCAGAGTGAGAAATGGGTACGAGGCCTGGGAGATGTGTCACAGACGGTCAGGAGATCAGCCGGGTGATGAGCGGGGATGGTATTGCAAGTGGAGGGGACTGCCGGGTCAAAGCAGGGGCAACAGCTCGCACCGGGACACCCGCAGGCAGCAAACTATCCCAGAACAAAGGCTAGACACAGAGGCTGGGGCGACTGTCACCCCTTCTCTCCTGACCGCCTCAGGCTTCCCTCCTGCAAGTGTCCCTTCCCTTCCTTCCCAGCAGCTGGGGGCTCCTAGGAGGGAAGACACACCTTTGGAAGCAGTGGGCTGCAGAGGCTGCCCAGTTGCTGTCGATGAGTGCAGCTCCGCAGATGAGCCTGCCGTGCATGAGCAGGGCGGCCTGCCATGGCCACCGCCCCGGCGCTGCCTTATTGCCAGCGAGGATCCGCACACCAGGTATATCCGGGACCACGGGTCTTGCTCCCTGGAGTTCTTCCTTTGTGATTGAGTTCTTTCCACATACTGTGGAAGATAATACAGCCATGAGGTACCTGCATTAAGGACGCCAGCCCTCGGTGCCCCCAAATGTCACCATCAGTAAGAGGAAGGGGCCACCATGACCTCTCCTCTCAATTCACAGGTGGGAAATAGGCAAGGCCCAGGATGAAGTGAGAAGACATCACCTGGATGGCGGGAGGGGAGGCACATTAGCTCGGGGCCGCCTTTCAGGGGAGATGGCACCATGGGGCAGAGGTCCAGGCTGGAAGGTGGGCGCTGGGCTCCTCCCAGACCTTATGTCACGTAAGGAGCACAGCCCTGTTTGAAGATCTAGACCCCGAGGGCTTGCAGAAGGGATGTCACTGCTCAGGGCCTCGGGGCTGAAGGGATCGTGCCCTCCTGCTCAGCCCACC